ATATGGAAATAAACAGCAAATCAAACCATACAGCAAAGCAAGGTCAAAATACTGCAATTTATAGCATCCTTTCACAGAATCATTGAGGCATTAAAATACTATGAGAGAACTCGGGAGAAAAAAAACCCCTAAAGAAATCACATAGTATTGTATATCCATGTTTTCTCTCATAAGCATTACTGTCATGCGAGCAAAGCAAATATACTTAACAGCCTCTTAGCTATTCAGGAGAAAATGTTCCAAGGGCAAAACAACAGTAAGGCCAGCAAATCCCAGCATTTAAAAACACACACATACACACAACCACACAAAATGTAATTTTTTCCCACAGTTCACAAACAGCAGGCTTTATATCTACAAGAGTTCAGATAGTTATTCGATGTAGAACACGTAGTCAGGTATATGTAGATTTTGTAAAAAGTAACATTTATATGCTGCCCTTTCCAGGTTGGTTCCTATATTGTAAATTATGTCAGATGGGTACAACTGAAAATAACACATGCAAGCTTAGGAGTGATTTGAATAAGTGTTAAAGCAACATAAAGCAGTGGCCTGGAACTATTTGCTAGCTTCAGCTGAAGTAGATCCAATGGCTGAAATCCTGTTGGCAGACGATAAACTGTGTAAGGCTGGTAATATCATCAGCCACAGTAATTTTTCAGAAATAAGGAATGTTTATTTCCCCATCTGAAGATCCTGAACCTTCCCATAGGATCTTCTGTTTATCACACAGAAGCTGTTGAAAACATTGGTGTGCATCTTTAACTTTTGAATATCGCTGCTGCCATTAAAATAATTTCACCAGCGCGAATTTTTGGAAATTAAAGATTTCTTCCATCCAACAGCCCCCAACAATGAAGGAGCCCTGGGACATTGGGGAGGAGGGTTAAGAATTTTTTATTTCTAAAAAAATCACTATGGGTGAGGTTATGAGTCTTACACAGCATGATTTCTATCAACAGGATTTCAGCCGTTAAGTCAACAGGATTCACACAATTGTTCACTTACCATTCTAGCACTGATCCAGTAGGGCTACCTTCTGAGAGACCAATGGCAGGATTTAGTCAGGGGTGGGAGCAATAAAAGTTCAGTAGATTTAAACCAGAGGCCATTATTCTGTGCCAATTCCTGTGCATGCAATGTCAATTGCAGAAACAAATTCAACTAATTTGTGAGGTGATAGTCAGGTGACAAAAAAACAACCAGCATCTCACTCATTTGACAGATCAGTTTTTGCAGTTGCTATTGTAGGTGTGGTAACTCCTTATTGGTTAGAGAACGCATGTTTTCGAACCCGTGTTCGCGACAATAGTCAGGTGACAAACAAACAACCAGCATCTCACTCATTTGACGGATCAGTTTTTGCAGTTGCTATTGTAGATGTGGTAACTCCTTATTGGTTAGAGATACAGTATTACTAACTGAAAGGCTTTAGGAAATAAGAGAATTGTGACAGTGACCCTTTGTTTACCAGGAATGAATGGATGGAAAGTGATGGTTGGCGTATGTTACGGACAGGATTCCAGCCATTGTTTACAGTTGTTGCATGACATTTTGTTGTTCTTTAGTTATTAAGTTGTGTCTGACTCTTCATGACCCCATGGACCAGAGCATGCCAGGCTCTCCTGTCTTCCACTGCCTCCCGAAGTTTGGTCAACTTCATGTTGGTCGCTTTGATGACACTGTCCAACCATCTCATCCTCTGTCATCCCCTTCTCATCTTGCCCTCACACTTTCCCAACGTCAGGGTCTTTTCCAGGGAGTCCTCTCTTCTCATGAGATGGCCAAAGTATTGGAGCCTCAGCTTCAGGATCTGTCCTTCCAGTGAGCACTCAGGGTTGATTTCCTTTAGAATGTATAGGTTTGTTCTCTTTGCAGTCCAGAGGACTCTCAAGAGTCGCCTCCAGCACCCCAATTCAAAAGCATCAATTCTTTGGCAGTCAGCCTTCTTTATGGTCCATCTCTCACTTCCATACATCACTACAGGAAAAACTATATGACTATGTGGATCTTTGTCGACAAGGTGATATCTCTGCTTTTTAAGATGCTGTCTAGGTTTGTCATCGCTTTGCTTCCAAGGTTTGTCGTTGCATGACATGGGCATCATGAATTCTTGCCTATGGAAGTAGAGAAACAACAACAACAACACACTAGATGCTGTCTTGTTGCATGGACTTTTAAAGATGAGAAGGTTCAGATGGGTTGTTTGCATCTCTTTGACCCATCAACCAGTTCTGTGCTTGCTGTATGTAGGCTTTGCTTCAGACAGGGAGAGAAAATAAGTGCATATTTGTGCATATTTTTTGTTCAAAATGCAAAAATCACGAGAAGGACTGCTTGTTCTGCTTTTTAAACAAACTATTCACTTCAAAAAGAAACACTTGATTGACTCTTTTTTTGTACTTCTGTTATGGTGACTTTAATGTTTGCAGGCGTTGCTGGTGCATTTCCTTTGCTCTAAAGATTGGGAAGTGCATGAGTGATATAATATTTTATGAGTGACCGTTTATTAACTCTCATCATTGCTGCTCTTTTTATTATATGCTTGATTCCCACCCTTGGCTTAGTGGTTGGCTGCAGGCAACCCTGTGCCAGTGACTGTTTATCTGGTTTTATTTTATCCATAATGAGTCAGGCATACCTCATGTATTCCAATTAGCACACAGAAATGTCAATGGAAGTGATATATAGCTGCCAACATTTATCTGGAGTGCATTTCATTATGGAAATGCATTTTCTGTTTGCAGACTGCTAGGTTCTTTTTTATACAAATGTCCCCTGCACCCAGAAAGAACCTGGTGTCTTTTTAAATTCATTCATCTATAGGTTTCAAATAATGTAACACTATGCCATTAAATTAAATATTTCTATCTCAGCTCTGCTTCCCAGAGATGATTTACTCAATCTGTGATAGTTCATAAGACATCAAAACAAATCTGAGGGTGACACTCTTCTAAAGTGCATTTGTGGATCAAAACTGAACTAAAAAGACAAAATTCTTGGCATGCATCTGAGCAGGATATATTGGCTGAAATCCTGTACTGCATCTTATGCCATATTGTGCTGTTGATGTCATCCATCAATGTATTCATTCAGAAATTAAACTTTTCAATTCCTCCCCACCATCACCAGACATCTTGAGATTCCCTTGGTATCCCTTTCTTTGTGGGGAAGCTGTTGGGGCCATGGGACTTCTTTAATTCCTGAAAATGGCCCACCTCTGGTAAAATTATCCCACTGGCTGATTTGGGGAAGGATGGGAAATTTTGAAGTTCCAAAAAAACTGCCACAGATGATGACATTGTCATCTATACATAGTGCAAGCTGCATTTCTAGATTTTAATCATTTAATATTAACCTCATTTGGGTCATAAAGAAAAATGTTTCAGTAACATCCAAGCAGGTTACCTAAAGCTCTTTGGTATTTGTATATGTGTAGAAAACTGCACATTTATTCTAAAAGTTGAGAGAGAGTAGGTTTACATTCAGTTACTTGTCCTATGGGATTACGCTTCTGAATAAGGTTGTAAACTGACTTGGCTGCTTCAGATGTCCTTTTCACCTTTTCCTGTTCTTAGATCCTGCCAGTCAAGCCATTCTGATGGGAAGAAACCAGAAAGATAGTATGAAGGAAGGAGCAACCCAGTGTCGGTCTCTCTTCATATGCTTTGTTGATTAATGCCTTTGTGTCAATCCACAGGATGTGCTATAGCGCTAAACTCCTCCTCTGGTTAAAAGGCGGTAGAAAAAAAACAATCCAAAGGTTTTTGGAGAGACAGAAGGGTGTGGGAACTAATGGGGGAGAAGAGACTGCAGATAAGAGAAATTGCCTCCTGGATATCAGGTCAATCACAATGCAGTTTTTGTTTTAGGAGTACCAACACAGATCAAAGGAAAACTTTTGGGCCACTCCGATGTAGAAGCAAGCATGAAGGGAGAAAGACGGAGGGAAAGAAGGAGTAGAGCAGTTGGAAAGTTAGCAGATATCATTCACTTGCAAACTGACAGGTTCATGAGTTCATGACAGTGCAGAAGGAATAAAATAGCAGTGGACTGTAAGCAGGGATCTGCAAGAGAAAGTGGGAATGCCAAAGAATATACCTCTGAGCATCTGGGTGGACAGATCAGTTTGTTTCTGGTCAATACCAGCACTCCGTTTACAAATGTCTTCCATTATCTTTCTACATTATTTTTCGAGTCAACAATTCCATCTGAAAGTTTTACAGAGCATTCACTTGGAGTGGCTCCTTCTAATTCTTCCAGATATAGAACATCTGAAGGCTCATGTCCTTTTAAATCATTTTCCTTCACATTATCATTCTGTGACATTGAACCAAGGAATCAGCAGAAAAACCACACCGTCAGTGATAGCTATTATTGTGATGTGTCCACGAAATAAGATAATGCATATACCTGGTGATACACTGCAACATTTAGTTGCAGGTCTCACTTGTATGCAATTATTTCTTATACTACATCTCATATCTTTGATATCTGCTAATTGCTGGAGTCTAGATTCCATACTTCTAGTCATCTTCTGATCAACTAAAGGCCGGCCTTTTGTGTTACAGTGATTGTACCTAAGTAGGTCCCCAGAACTGCTTTATCCTGACACCATTTCTGTTCCTGAGAAGCCACCTGTGATGGCAGGTGTAAAGTAATGACAAGAACTGTGGCTGGAACTCAATTGTAACCAATAGTCTTGGTTTCCTTTATTGGCACCATAGATGATGACACCACAGTTAGGATGGTGCAGATTAATATCCTGAATCATTACACGTTTCCCCATTCATATAGTTGAAGCATCAATGCCATGTTTCTTGTGCTTCGTGTAAGTTCCTGTTGAAAAAAAACACAAGCTGAACACCATGCTTTTTTCCCTTTTGTTACTGTTTCATTATGACAATTTGTGCATTTCTTTAATGATTATGACAATTGCTTAGTCCTTTTTATATTTTTGGTATACATACAGTTTGATTTGTTAATTTCTGTCTTCACAGGGCAACCAGGGAAGGCTGGTACCTCTATGCAGACAGTTCTAATGGGGACTTTGGAAATACTGCTGAAATTATCACCCCAGTGATTTCTCAGACTGGACCCAAGTGTAAACTGGTGTTTTGGAACTATATGAATGGAGCAACGGTGGGCTCTTTGGAGGTATTGAAAAGACAGATTATAAAAGTTTGCGTAAGACTACTTATGCACTGACAACATAATATAAAGAACTCTTTCCTCCCTTATCTGTTGTACCCAACAACAGCTTAACCATCCTTTGTAAAGAGCACCTATTAGCCATGTGTCACACTTTGATGCCGTGAATACACTGTGTGGAATAGCTAATTGACATGGTAACCCTTTTATCTTGGATCGTCTTTCAAACCCAACCTTGAGCAACATAAGAGTTTTCCATCTGGGCTTGGAATTAATCAGGCACTAAATTGGAGGTTTTTCAATATTTGTCACATTTTAATTGTATTTAAATGAGATATAAAATGCATACTAAACTATTTTTATCCATATTCGGACCTTCAAGCTAGGGAAAGTTCTATCTGATATTACCTTTGTACCAGCAGAAATCATCTCTGCTTGTGCAAGATGGGGTAAATTAGTTTTACTGGTTCCTTGTAAGGACAGAGTGTGAGATTCGTTCATGGATAGTCTGTGAGATAAACAGTGAGTAAACCGAATACACTAAGCATGTTTTTGTGTAATGTCGAGTGACTTATGGCTTATGGTGACCCAAGCAAGATTTTCAAAATATGGGGGTGGCTTATCATCGCCACCATCCAGTGAGTTTCCATGGTGAGGCAAGGATTTGAACCCAGGCCTCTTGAGCCCATGCCCAACACTCTATTTACCACACCACACCACATTGGCTCTTTTGTACTATGTAAGGTAAAGGTTCCCCTTGACACTTAGTCCAGTCGTGTCTGACTCTAGGGGGCGGTGCTCATCCCCATCTCCAAGCTGTAGAGCCAGCATTTGTCTGAAGACAGTTTCCGTGGTCACGTGGCCAGCGTGATTAAACATGGAACACCGTTACCTTCCCACCGTGGTGGTACCTATTTATCTACTCACATTTGCATGCTTTCGAACTGCTAGGTTGGCAGGAGCTGTGACAAGCGACAGGAGCTCACTCCGTTGCGTGGATTCGATCTTACGACTGCTGGTCTTCTGACCCTGCAGCACAGAGGCTTTTGTGGTTTAACCCGCAGCACCACCACGTCCCCCCC